GTATTGCATTTAAATGGCAAAGTTCATCATGTGAATAGTATTTGATGTAAGCTAGTTTGGTTAATCAAGATTCAAGATTTCATTTATTGTTCAAAAATGGAAATACTAGGCGGCAAACAGAGAGAGAGCTTGCTTAAAAGGGGAAAAGGAGATTCGCGTCAATGGGGGTAGGGATGCCAAGGGTTCTCCCTCTCATGTGAGCACAATTTGTAGGGGATACAAAAACTTCTAAAATTGATAATAAGCCTTTCAAATCCCTAATTGTTGGAGTTTCCAGGTGATTCGCTCTTTAGAACCCCTCTTTCGTTGTGAAATTCGGCCTTTCCATCGGGGAAATCGCCCCTCCTCCCCCTCCCGTCGTCGTCTGTGACATCGCACCCACCCCCTTCCTTCTCTAGTTTATAACTTAAAACCCCCGTCGAACAATATCAGCACCACAACTATGGATTCGGCCGAAACATAAATCCGCTTTATCCCAGGTAATGTTTAATCCACCTTAGTAAACAGTTTTGTACCAGGTAGCCTTGCCAAGACAAAACAGTTAATAATAGCATACATACTGTAATTTTTTTAACTTTTTTTTAATTTTTTTTATTTATTTATTTTTTTTTTGTCGTGGTAGCGCAAGCACGTAAAGGGCGACGACATGATATCTTAGTTGAACGTTATATATTTATAATAAATATGCTTTTATAAGATATTACATCTGATAAACCTATTAAATACATTTCTTCATTTTTACGCTAATCGCCGAATTGTTAATAAAGATTAATTTTAGGAGAACAAGTAAAAAGAATCCTAACTACAAGCAGCCGCTATTTTATACTGCTGTTCATATGTATGTCGGGAGAACACCTTATAAGTTTTCTAATTCAGTTTTCTCTATTTCTTGCAATTTATTCAGAAGACTTGATTTGTTCAATTGTATTTTGATTATTGCCAGAAATAAAGTTTATTGTATTGCATTGTATTGTATATTTTACTGCTTTTAATTGCCTTTCGGCAAACTGGGTTTCGGCAAACTTGGATTCATGGTTTTTTGAGTCGGCACTCGGGCACTCGGCAAACTGTCAGTTTCAACAATTAGGCCTAGATCCTTTCCTACACACTAGAAACTTATTCTTCTCGATCCTTACCAGGGCGTTTTTCTTAGATTCCAAAGATCTATAGTGAACAGTCTAGCACACCTCCTCCACCACCCACCCAAAAATTATGTATCCTATAGCCACCACTCTGCTCTATCAAAGATCATTGACCATTATTTTAACACCTTTCATATATTTCAATAGGTCATGATCTCTTTTAGTGGTTCTGGCAGCGCCTGGTATGGCTTCGTCCACAACACTTTAGCAGTGGGCAAGTTCGGTCACCCCTTCTTTCTCCGGCTACCTGGTAAACAAATCTGTTACCTAGGTGTATGTTGTCTATTGGTTCGGAATTTCCTCCATTTTGAGCAAGCCTCCTCTTAGAAACCAATCCCCAACTTGTGTTAAAGATGATCGAAATGATGATAAAGAATGGATCAGCTCCTAATAATTGATTTAAAGGAAACAAATAAATTAATATTCATCTATTATATAAATTATACACACGTGCCAGCTCCAGAAATTTGCCGATGGAGAGGTGGGTGTCTGAATCAAGGGCCGGCTAGAGCCTTGTTCAGAGCCCTATCATAAAATCCCTTGTAGGGTCCGCAGAGAGAGATTTGGAGTGGGGTATACGATGCTTAATCCTTTATTTTATTTCATTTCTAATTTTAACTGATAGCCTTCAAGTGTGTTTTCCCACAGCATTTTTGTTTTTCATTATTTTGCCTTTTAATTTGTATATAAATACGGCTCTTCCCTGACCCATTCATCATTTTCAAAAGCAAAGTATGCTGTACGTGTGCGACACTAATTGCCAGATTCAGCAAACTTAGTTTTGGCAAACTGGGTTGTAATGATTCAGTAAACTTGATTGGCAAAATGCGTTTCGGCAAAGTGGCCATGGGCTCGGCAAACTATGTTTTGGCAAAGTGGGTTTCGACAAACTGGTCTGTTGAATTTGGACATTTCAAGCTTTTTTTCATACGTCTTCAAGCTAATTATACCAGGGAACAGTGAATTTCAACATAGAACGGAAAAAACGGACGGGGGAGGGAGATACAGTGCTGTCGAAAATAGCTGCCCCTCTTTGTCGGGGAGAAAACAAAAGGAATTCGTAGAGAAACGTATACGGAATGCACAACTATAAAATCAATTAAATAAGCCTTTCATATCCTTGTCTATGGAGTTTTGGGCCTCCTCAAGAACAATACCCTAGAACTAACATTCATAAAGATAGTGATTTGTTATCTACTGATTAGTTTGTGACGTATTCGAACCATAAAAAAAACAACAAATAAGATAAACTTTTAAAACAGTCTCTTTAATTCAGTCTCAATTTGCATGCGGAGCGAATCCAGAAATTTTCTGACAGGAGCCAAATAGGTAGTCCACACCCAGTTCAAAACCACGATAGGGAGCAGCTGAGGGTGGTGTATCGCCTTCTAACTAAATAGGCTCTGTCTCTTATACACATCTAGATGTGTATAAGAGACAGATATAGGTCTTAATAATACAAAAGGAATAAATCGTTTATAGTAAAAACTATGCACTTTTTACTTTGTAAAAATGTTGACCCAATAGGTTTACACGCTTTCAATTTTAACTACGCGTACATTGTTTTCACAATAAATTTAGCCTCTGATAACCATTGCCCATAAAATCGATGGAGTGGTTACTGAGATGGTTGCGAAATTTCAAACAATATTGTGTTGTTACTCGGTTTTGGTTGTGGGTTTAAGACCCCATAAAAAAAATTATTATATCACCCACTCCCTCATCACTTTTGGGGAAATTCATATATATATTTTTTTTTAATCAACATATATTTTTATTTCAAAAGGTCGTTTTTCCATCTTTTTTCACTTGAAGAGCTCAGAATTTCTTGCAGATATGTTTACTGATACAACAAAAACATATTTTTTAAATATATGTGTCCCTAACCATTAATTTACTTGTAAACATCGGTAAAATGGGGACGGGGTTAGCAAAAAAAAAACCCAAAAAAGACCTCCCTCCCTCATCTGTTTTTATTCTTGGATAGGGTGATAAACTAATATTTTTTTTATGGGGCCTTAACTATAGAAGATTGGTGAAAAATGATGTACCCCCTATTCTAAAAAGGGGGAGGGCACAGATTGTCGCCCATGGAGTCCAAAAACAAAAATTGTTACATATCTCAATGAAAATGACGTCATAAATGTTTACTAATATGCTTTTAAGAACCACTCGACTGTTCAGGCCTTAATCAGGGCGCATCTACAGATGTCCGAAAAGAGTGCACGGTGTGGGATTCGAGAGACAACACCCTATGGTGAGAGATTTTTGTCTTCTAGACACCCGGATCTAGATGCCCAGATAGGTGTAGGGGAATCCTGGGGACAAACTTAAAAAAGAGGCGATGAAATGTAATGTATCAAGTAGAGCCTATAATACTATTTACTAGACCTAGATACTTAATTATCCAAAACCTATGTAAGCCTATAAAAATAAACACACTCACGAATCACAGTATGTAAAGTTCAAATAACACTTTTTATTAGGCGTGCAGCTCAATCAAATATCACATTTTAATGAAAATGTACAATAATATTGTGTCATATTATGAAACTATCCAAGTTTGTTATTACCATGGTGACATCGTATTTTTTAAAAATCAGACAGTGAAATATGTACACGAGAAGTTACAGTATACCTACAACAATATTTAAACTTTAGGTAGACGATGTTTATCTTTGGTTGATGACCTTTTGACCTCCAGAATTCTGCAGTACGAGATTTTCGAGTCGAGTCGAGACGGCCCGAGTGGAGTTTCATGCAAAATGTTTCGTACGGAAAAAAAAATCGCGGTGGGCTGAGGTGGGTGTTTTTACATTCATTTCTTCCATTCAGACAGTAATGATAATGAATAATACTGAATATTTATTTATAAAAAATTAATGAGGAAATTTTCAAATGTGAAATAAATCTAAAATCAAGCCATTTTGTCAGCAAGACTTTATGTATCTTTTTACATATTCTTGGGAGCCAAGCCATATATTGCCAGTCAGCATAGCATTTACAATAGTTAGCTTATATTTTGGTCATCTTCCTTTCTTCCATAAATGACTATATTTCTGTTCAGTGAAGTCATCGTCAATGTCATCCTCTACTGTTTTCTTTGTCTTTGGTTGGTATTGTTGCATCCTTGCTTTTCTCTCCTCAGCATCCATCATATTAACATCTAGCGGTAGCTGTGAATATCAAGATGAAATAATGAATATCAAATTGTTTGTGTTATTGGAGGAATTACACCACATTCACACAACAGAAAATGCAATATCTATCAGGAATTTCTGTTCCGATGTCAACCCAGCAGTGGCGTTTCTTTAAACATTTTTTAAGGGGGGGGGGGTAGGGGTGGGGAGTAACTGGGAAGCAAGTATTTTTGGGGATGTGCCCCTACACACTTCCTGGATACGCCACTGCAACCAGATTCATCACATTCTCACATGACTAAATAAAACATTTCATAAAAGTTGGTACAATTAATATGCAGACGGTGAAGATACAGGGGAGGGGGTTGTGAACACCTGCCACAAAAAACCACCAGTCTCACCCCCTACCCCACTAAAAATGTCCAAAGCAAAAAATAATGCTCAAGTACTTATTAATCACATCATACAGTATAATAATAGAATATTGGATTTTATATAGCTTCCAATATGGCCTCTAAGCGCTTAACATTATTACCCGGTCACTAAATCAAGCACATATGGAACACATACTTAGCTCCCTGGGGAGAATTCCATAACTTTCACAGCTGTAATCAGCACATTTTCTGGTTGGACCTACCAGGTACCCACTTGAACTTCTGGGTGGAGAGAGACAACAGTAGGTAAAGTGATTTGCCCAAGGATACAAGCAAAATGCACAGCTAGGGATTGAACCTCCCACCTTTGAACAGCTGTGTCAAAAACCGCTCAACCTTATTCTGCAACCTAGCACCCCCTCACATAATTATCGAGCCCCAACTCCACCTTTGCGTCCCTATCAGCCCCAACCCCATTTCAAGAGTCCTTGATACCCATAGCTACATTTTCTCCAAAAAATACTTGTGAACATTTTTTCACTGTCTGATTTCTTTATAAGACAGAACAGAGACCTTTAATATTTTTCTTGGTTCATGATAGTTGATGTGATATGTGGATCCATCCGTGTTGACTACTAATGTTGGGTACATCCGTGCATACACCTTCCTGTTGGTCTTAGCAATGCTTGCTCTGTTCGAGTTTAATCGACTCTGAACTTGAGAAAGCATTGCACTACGTTGGCTGAAGTATCGGTACAAGATGACATTTGTATTCATCTTGAGCCTATGAAAAAAAAAAACCATACCAGTAATTAATTACAGTATATACTCTACAGAGTAAATTTGATAGCTTCAGAACAAATTGAGCAACTGGTTGGGCTGAGGAGGTACACCATTTTTATGACTGACACACTTAGATAGTTATGAAAATCTCTCCAACTTAAATGCAATTTTTTCTTCTCATTTTTTAAATTTTTACAAAATTTTAGTACAGTAATAGGGCAGAAAAATGGCAGACTGCCCCCCCCCCCCATTGTGTTGTGGCTCCTCTGTACTGTAAACTATACTACCTAGGTCTAGGCCTAGTCCAGGCCTCTACCCATACTGTGTAAAATTTGTTAATTGTGTGGCGGATACCTAAAAAATCGGCTCAAATTTACTCGGAAAATCGCTAGGGAAATAGGTGCACGGAATCGAAATTGCTTCATAATGACATTCATATTAAGATTTGCCTTATTTTCGGCAAAATTTGCACAGAAATCGGTCCTTATTTTCCGAAATGTGCGGACAGATTTCTAGGCCACATTTTTGCGAGGAGGATACATTTCCTGTGCAGGCCTTGCCCTTATACAGTCTGTGCCTCTACTAGCTAGCAACGCCCTATTCAATTTTATTACTAGGCCTAGCTAGCTTTCGATCATAAATAATGATGTTCTTCAGGATCATTATTGGGTCGATTTCCACAAGGAGGTATGCAGGGTCCTATTATGTTATGTGTCATGATGATGGATTCATGGCGGCCTAGCGCCTTCTAACTAAATAGGCTAGGCCTAGGCCTGACGTGTTGTTGGCCTCCTATGCCTACCATAGGTAGATAGTTTAGTCAGCCTCTCCTGGCGGACTAGCCTCTCTCTAGCAGGGCCTGATAGGTAGGCGCTACCTAGGGCCCCTAGATAGGTAGCGCCTACCTTACTAGGCTAGGCTAGGGCCAGACTCCTAGGCCTAGCCATGAAAGTCCAAATCACACTCATTTTAAAAACAATCGTTACAACTAATATATAATGTTTTTACACATATATCGGAAAACACTTTTACAAGTTTACAAACCTAATAAAAACATATATTTTGTTAGGCTGAGGCTATCGGCACTGCCGCAGTGCGAAAAAAAGCTGCTGTTTTCTATCGGCACTGCCGCAGTGCCAAAAAGCTGCTGTTTTCTATCGGCACTGCCGCAGTGCCGAAAAGCTGCTGTTTTCTATCGGCACTGCCACAGTGCGAAAAAAGCTGTTATTTTCTATCGGCATTATAGCCGCAGTGCGAAAAAAGCTCCGATTTTCTATCGGCACTGCCGCAGTGCCAAAACACTAAATAAAATTATGAATTATGAATTATACCAATGTCATCTATTGATAAAAACATCGATTCGATTAATTAACAGCAGCTTTTCGCACTGTGGCAGTGCCGATAGAAAACAGCAACTTGTTGACACTGCGGCAGTGCCGATAGAAAACAGCAGCTTTTTTTCCGCACTGCGGCAGTGCCGATAGCCACTACCATTTTGGCTAACCGCTTCTATTTTATTTTATTTGCTATCAACATGCTGATGACCCGATGACCCAACATGTGAGCAGCAAGGATTGCCAAAATATAGGCTATTCAATTTATCAAAAGTGAAGAAAATCACACTTGGCTAAAATCTACAGGAAATATAATAATTATTATTTTTGTAAAATGTTTACTACTAAAATTAAATAAAGTGACCAACATGAAATATTTTGGTCTAGGCCTATTTTATTGTTTTATATAATTTTTAAAATTTTTTGACACGTTTGGCACGTTACACTCACGATTCAAATTGCAGTCACATGTTTTGTAGTCAGGTGACTAAAAATTTCGTGAGACGTAGGTGCCCGCTGTCAGATTTTGTTTTGTGTTAAAACGACAGTAGACATAATTCCCCACATATGTTCCGGTAAAAATGACTAAACTGATGCAGTACATACAGGTATTTCATGTTTCCTCTTACTTTTATAAATATTTAAGTAGGCCCTAGGCCTAGGCCTACTTTCAGGCATCTGTTGTTAAAAAGCAGCAATGCCAAATCATATAAGCTTAGCCCGGCCTAGGTAGGAGGCCCTAGGCTAGGCCTAGATAACCTAGGCCGAATATCCCCTAGGCCTACATGGTGAGGTAAGCCTAGCCTAGGCCTGGTCTAGCCGGGTGCGTACCTTTGGTCCGAAGGGTCTTTGGACAGAAGGTCCATTGGTCCGAATGCCCGTTGGTCCAAAATTGTCTTTTTTTCCAGGAATGCAGGTTATATACAGCAGTAAAACGATTCCTTACACTTACAATTTATTTATGGATTTAATTAAGAAAGATCACTTTTCGAAAACAATATTCCCAAATATTTTCCCTAACAACATGTAATAAGGCCAAGTTAAAAAAAAAAAAAAATACTATTACTAGTTTTGTCACCTGCCGCATCCATTTCGCTGCCTTACAGTACCATTTCATTAAAAAATATATATATTTCCTTTTTTTTTGCGAAATGTTCGAAAATCTGGCTAACTCACATCAGTATTAGTAAAATTCCTCTGTCGATCAATTGTAACAACTACTACTAGGGCCTAGTCTAGGCCTAGTACTACTACTACTAGCCTCTCCTTAATCAGTAGATCGTAATTTATTTTAGTTTCATTTATTTTATTTTTGGGGTATGAATATTTTGAGAGGCAGCCGGCCTTGCCTACCTTCAGTAAGAGATTCAATATCGGTCTATAGGTACATACTGATAATACTGTATATCATGTATTATGCCATCCATATGTAAAAAAATACAAATATTGTATAGGCCTCAGCCTACCAATAGGCCCTACTCCTCCCAAACTGTAAAGTAAGACCTGTTTGGGTAATATCCTCCATGCAAAACTTAGGCCTAGAAATCTGTCCTCGCATTTTAGGAAAGAAGGGAAATTTTAGAATTTAGGCTGAAAATCGTTAGGAAAATAGGTGCTCAGAATTGTAACTACTGCATAATACATTGGTTATATATACATTTTTGGCACTACTTATGGTGTCGGATACGACGCGGTATGACCCGTGTCCCACAATTTAAATTTTATTATTAGTAGACTATTTACTGTACCTATAAAATTGATTAAATAAACCTCCTGGACCACTTTCGAGACATTTTGAACGACACCTAATGATGCCCACAGGCCACCCTAACATATTTTCCCCCTATAACTTTATTTTACCTTGCTCCTGAATTGCCTCCCTACCCCCCCCCCTCAGATTTCATAAGCTAGTGCCGCCGCTGGTTGCCTTATACAGGGCATATGTGGTATCTTGGTTTAGCCTTTTTTTTTTTTTAATACTGTACTCAGCCGAAATTCAGTATGAAAAACGTGTTTCAAAGAAATGTACGTAAATTCAATCAATAGATTTTGTTTTATCAATCACTGTTCATAAAAAACGGACATTTCACTGAATATTGCAACTGTGACACTTGTACTTTACTCAGCGCGCCCTCCACTAACCGGCCAGGGACCTCCCTGAGCTTGCATTGAAGGCGGTGCCTCACGATGATTTGCGATTGAAACTGTTCCCATTAGGTTTGACAGTTCGGTATTTATTGTTTTAATGGTTTGAATAAAATATACATAGTAAATATATTTTGTGCGTGGCGCTAATATTTTAAGCGTGGTGCAATTTCGTTTTTTTCGCCCAAGCATGGTTTTCCTGCTACGCTTAAGTATAGCTTAAATTGTTGATTTTTAACTGTAAGAGACTTTTTTTAAACCTTGTTCGGCGAACCTGCTGGCTGCCAATTATGGTGATTTCAAATGAAATGAAATTATATTTTTGACCAATTAGTGCACCAGTCGCCAGGAAAAAATGGAAATTTCAGGAATAAAAAAAAAGTTTTTCTTTATTTTTATTACTCCCGTCGCTGCCTTAAAATTTCCAAAAAATAGTATATTTCTATTCCTAGTTATATAAATGTAATGCATATAACCATCCAATTACTACACTGATTACATTCGCCAATAAAATTTCATTTTTATAATCTCCTCCATCTCTATGTTTTTGGCAAAATTTTTCCTGAATAAAAACACAAAATGTTAGTTTTATTTTTCTTCTAATACCCTCCTCTGACGATATACAAATGTAAGTTCACGAAACAAGGTATAAAAAATGTTTTCAAGTATGTTCACACAAATATACATATATCATCTTTTGTTGTTCTTCCCCAGGACAACAGGAGCTGCTGATATCTTACAGTAAAAGAACTACTGTATATAGCTACTGTTCTGTTGTGCAATAATATAATAAATCATGGCAAAAGTTTTCCAAATCATATTCATTCTTTCGACATTGGTGAAGTTAATCAATGCAAAGAGAGCTTCAAATTTAACAGTCAGGCCAACTGAACTAGCTATTGTGGTTGGGAACAATGATTCTTTCAGCTTGCAGAGTAAAGTGCCACTTAGTGAGCCTGTTACTATCAATCTTTATAGTACACATCCTGGTATAGCAACAGTAGAAGACGAAGTAAGTGATCTTGTTTTTTTTTTTATGTCTTACAGTATATTTTACTTTATTTTTTTTTATATTGCTTGTAATAATAATAATAATAATTGTCAATTTATATAGCGCATAATGTTAAATACCTATGCGCTTTACAGCATGGAGTAGGATAAATTATTAAAAGTTTACCTAAAAAAAAATGAATAAAAACGATAACAACAATAAATATAAGATTACTATGTTAACATATAAATAATTTGAAAAAAATAGAATTTTATTTAATTTTTTTTAAATCTATCTAATTGTTAAATATTTATTTTCTTGGTCTTATTACCTTACCTTTTCTCCTTTTTTTCCCCATGTATTTTTTCCCTTTTACCTTTATTTTCTTTCATACTACTTACGACCTGTCTCTCTTATCCTTTACTTCTCTGTAATTTCTTTCTTAACCTTTTCTTTCCCTACCATCTTTTCCTCCTTTTATTTTTCTACCTCTTTTCATGTTTTAACTTTCCTCTTCCTTTTCTTACCTTATATTTTCCTTTTCTTTCCTTTCCACATTTCTTTTTGAATTCTTTCCTTTTTCTTTCTTTACCATTTCCTTTTTTTTTTCTTTAACTTTTTGTTTTCATTCTTTTTCTTTTCTTGCCCTCCTCATTTTATTTCTTGTCCTTTTCTTTCTTTCCCTTTTGTCGACTTTCTTTTTCTTTTCCTTTCTTTACCTTTTCATTTTCTTTCTTTTTCTTTCTTTACCCTTTTGTTTCCTTTCTTCTCATTTCATTACTTTTTAGTTTTCTTTCTTTTTCTTTTCCTTTCTTACCCATTTTGGTTTCTTTCTTTTTCTTTTCTTTCTTTCCCTTTCGTTTTCTTTCTCTTTTTTTTCCTTTCTTTACCTTTTCGTTTTCTTTCTTTTTCTTTTTTTTTCTCTACCTTCCCCTCCCTTCTTTTCTTTCTTTCCCTTTCGTTTTCTTTCTTTTTTTTCCCCTTTTTTCCTTCTTTGTTCTTTCGTTTTTTTTTTTTCTAGTTTATCATACTTTTCATTATCTTTCTTTTCCTTTTTCCTTTTCATGTACTTCATTTTCCATTGTTCTTAATTGCTTTCATTTCCTTTCTTTCCTTCCCATTGCTGTCTACTTCCTTATAGTCCAGGAAACTTTGGTTGGTTGTTTTTTTTTTGCTATATTTTTTAAAAATTGGATATGATGTAGAGTAGACATAGATAAATCAAAAAAGTATGTGCAACATTTTTTTTTTCATACGTAAGGGGGATTGCCAGCCGTTTCAAAATGGCCGCCATATTTTCCTAAAATTGTCACTAATAATATTGTAAATTTATGTCATTAAAATGCAGTATTCAATTGGAAATCCACTCATAACAATGACAGCAACAGTTAACTAAATATTGTACACATTTTTGAGCTATTAAAATTTGAAATGGCTGCCATTTTCCATTATATTAGCTTTTTAGCATACATATTAATATAATAATAAACCTACATAGTTGCCTAGCACCGTCGAACGTTGCATTTGCAGATGGTCCATCGGCCAGATGGATTAACAAGGACGACCAAATGGCCAAAGTCATAAAATACGCGGGAGTAATACGCCACCAACGATGGAAATAAAACAGGCCCCAGTTCAGTTTGCCGTCGCATTTTTTCAACGTTTTCAGTGTAAGATAGCATAATAGAAGACCACTGAAATCAAGGTAAATTGTATCGTTATAAGTTAGCATAAAATATAAACATCTAAAATATATCCACACATATTCTCCTATCGTCTGTACAAATCGAAGGGCACAAGCCAAGCCTAACTTAGTAACGTCCTGGTTAGTAGCATGCCGTTTCCACTTTTGCTACTCAATTTATACTTTTTGATGTTTTGATCTATCATACCAAACATATAAATTTAAATAACAAATTGATTATATTTTTATATAAAATAAATGTGTTACCATGTTATACCTGAGGAGAAAGAATGTGTCAACGGCAAACGTTGCCTGCCATAATATCACGAAATAGAACTTCGGTAATAAAGTGGTCAATACGTAAGTGATATTATCTAAACAGTAAGTAAAGATAACAATTAAATATAATTTTGTATAAATACACCGATTATGAATATGCTATGTGTATTAGAAATCCTGTCTCTTATACACATCTAGATGTGTATATGGCAACCCCCCTTACGTATGAAAAAAAAAATGTTGCACATACTTTTTTGATTTATCAATGTCTACTCTACATCATATCCAATTTTTAAAAAATATAGCAAAAAAAAATGCAACCTCTGATATTGCTAAATTTCGGACTAGACTATTACCTCTTCTTATTAATTACCTTTTTATTTCCTTCTGCTAATGTTCATTGTCCTAATATTTTGAACACTGTAATCAGAAATCAGTTGTTTGTATTCATTCATTTAATTCATATTAAACAACTTTTTGATAATGTTTATGTTGATCTGTCCTGAGGTCAGAGTCAGTGAGTTCTATTCACAAGACCTGTTATGGTTTCGATGTGAAAGGAGAAATAAAGAGCTGAGCAACAGTTTGTTTATTTTGGCCTATGATCTCTTTTTATTGTCATTTATCACTTTTAAATTGTTCATATGCGATGAAAATAAGTCATGTATGTAGCTCTCAAATATTGAATAAAAAAAATCATGGAGTTCGATTTACAGTATTTCTAAACTTTCTAATATTGTGTTTATATGTAATTGAGGATTTGTGCAATTACTTTCGTCTTGTTTTTGTTTTTGTTTTTTTTTTTTTTAATTTTGTTGGTAACTGTTGTTCTGTAATAACTCAAAAAATATAGTATATACGGCGGTATATATATATTTTTTTATATGTAGTAACTGTCTAGTTTTGTGTATTGTACTTTATGTACTTTTTAACCATATTGTCATATTTCAAGCCTTGAATTTGAAATTTGAAAATTTGAAACCATAATAAAAAATACTATATCAAGCATTTGTATTTTCACTTGGAAATCATAATATTCAGAATCTCTCTTTTAGTTATTTACACTTTTTTTCTTGTATTTTTTTGTGTTTTGTTTTGCATATTGATGGTAACTGTTGTTCTGTAATACAGTTGAACTTGCCTAAAGTCAAATCCAAAAAGGCTTTGAAAAATTGTTTGACTCTAGATAAAATTGGACTTACAAATCATTAATTAATGAAAAACACAATAATTTGGCATAAATTAAATAAGATCAGCTTAGAAGATATTCGAGTTACAGTAGGCAAAGTTGACTTTCGGCAAGTTTAACTGTAACTCAAAAAATATATATATATTATGCTGTACAACATACAGTATATTTTATTTTATAGTAACTTGGCAAAATGTTTTTGTTTTGTGTATTGTATTTACATGCTTTTTAACCATGTTGAAAAAAATATATATCAGCATTTGTACTTTCACTTGGAGATCATATTCAGAATTTCTCTTTAGTTATTTTTTTTAATATTACTGTATTTTTTTTTAATTCTACACTAGGCTCTTCTAAATGACACCACTAAAGTTTTTGTCGAAATTCAATCTTTTGAAGTAGGCAGAACCGACATTGTGATGAACACATCTTCATGGGAGATTGGAAGGTTTGTTTTTATTAAGTTATCATTATCATCATCATGATCGTCATCATATATATGATCATCTTCATCATGAAATCATCAAGGACCATCATTATTATCATCATTATCATTATCAACCTTATTATAATTTTCATCATCATTAGCATCTTCATCATATTCCTTGACAAAGAGTATTGGTTTCCATTCAAGCCCTGTTTTTGAAACAAGGAAAACAATTTTATCCAACAATACATTTCATAATATATCTGGTACCTACAGGATGTCTGAAAATTTGTATTATTAATTAGGAATAAAGAAAATTATTATAGTGGCAGTTGGTGTGGACCAGTGTCGACCTCATTCTTACATTCCATTTAATAAAACTAATGACAGTTACAGAATGACGAGGAGGTGGGTCTTTTAATATAATTCTACCAAACTTTCCATCGACGGTACTCACTGTCCAACTGGATTATTTTATAATTTATTAGCCTGTCCATATCTACAGTGTCTTAATATATTTCCTCTCTGCACACTAAACAATAGCTTGAAGCAAGAAAAATGGTAGAATTCAAGAATACATGACACCATTTTTATACATGATCATCATTATCATCATCATGATCACCATTAATAACGACACGACAATGACCTACCATCGCATCGTTTATATTCTTCAACACTGAGCGCATTTTTATTGTGTCGTCGTGTCATTATTATGTCTGGTGTAAATGTTGCTTAAAAGGTTATCTCATTATTTTTCCCCCTTACAGTTTGGATTCTACTTTCCTGCGAGTTTCAGTGATTCATAGTGATGTCTTATCTGTTTTGATCATTGTTGTTGGATGGATCTACTTTGTGGCATGGTCTGTGTCATTTTATCCACAGGTTATTCTTAATTTTCAGAGAAAAAGGTTAGTAAACAGCAATAAGAAATATAGGGTAAAGAAGAACATGCTAAAATCTTGCAGAAAAGAAAACACTCCCAAATTCAGTTAAAACTTTGAGTAACTCATTTAAAAGGACACAAACGAAGAAAACGCTTTTAGCGGTACTGCAGTGTTGATAGTAATTGTTATTGTCGTGGTGGAATAGACATTAATTGGATCAACACTACAGTACCCGCTGCTTACTTGGACTCGAATTCAGCCGTGGCCATCAGGCGCAAGCTCGGTGGTCTAGAGTTAGGATGCTAGGCTAGTGATCGTGGGTTCGAGTCCCACCCGAGAACAACTTGCAATTTTTTTTTCGCAATTGTTTTCAAACGTACTGAGTATTCAGTACATTTCCACGTCAGGTAGAGCAAAATTACACCTATACATGATTCTCCTGACGCAAAATCCAGTTATTGTCTATTCCACCACGACAATAACAATTACTATCAAAACGCTTTTTCCCTACAAATGTCTCCGGGGAGATTTGTGATGCGTCCGACTGTCACTTGGATTGGTTGTGCACTTTTTCCAGCCCTTCATTTATTACGCTTCTGCTGGCTTACAGATTTTGAGCTTTGAAAAATCCTGAAATTGATTATAAATCAGCCAAGTTGAGGTCTATGTAAATATTTACTGCGTTATTGATTCTTGTTAAGTTATAATGCTGTTATAGAAGCTGAATCAATTGTTGACGAGTTCTGTTATCCAGACATGTTGGCAACCATGATATTAATGTTGTCTAGCAAATATTGCCAAATTGTTTATCCATAATTTATGAGGTGCCATCTGTTCACTTATTATTTAGCAAAAAATGACATGGTTTTTTTTACGTTATATATTTTTATATATTATATAATATTTTATATAATATATAATTTTTTATATAATATATAATATTTTATATAATATATAATTTTTTATATAATATATAAAAAATTATATATTATATAATATTTATATAATATATAAT